AGCTCCTCATAAAAGAAATCTTTCAATAGGCAAACTAGGTTTCTCAGTAGCTGGACCACTTCCACTTAATATAAATACAACGCATGAGGTAGGATTTCATATTGCTTAAACAAATAATAAAAGAAAAAGCAGAATCTCATATCCAATAGAAACTAAATGAAGCAAGGGCAGGGTCAGATTTAACCCTGGCCAATTTATATTTTCTGATCTTCTGACTTGATCCTTGCCAGTCATGCCTAGAGCTTATCAAGTCATTAGAGGCAATTCTCCTTATAGCTGAAAGAGATGGGGATAGGAGTGTGGGAGCAGGAAACAATTTTCAACTGCTTGGAGCATGACTTTGGCAATGTAAGGGAATATATAATGGTAGCTGATGCCTCTTAGGAAGACAAATTTTCCATCATACTCAGAGTGGCAGTGGGGGGGAGCATTCCTGCTGCCACAGGACAGCAAGAACAGGGACCTGGTTCCAGCACTGGACTGAAAGAGAACAAGTATGAAAATACAAGCTTTAGTAACATAGATGGCTGAGAATGTCTTGGTTGGCTTAAACAAGCCTTCACACCATCTGTATTACCATATCCCAGTCAGTAATGTGAGACCAGAGTACTTTAAAACCATCCTCCACATGCCTTTGTCTCCAAACCAAACCCATGCAGGTTGAGTCACTAATTAAAATTAATCTCTGTAGGGTAGGTATGGCAGAGGTGAGGATACCCTGGGCTGTCCCTACTCTCCTCCAAGCAGCAGCCCTGTCTCCTTAGGGAATGGTGTGAGAGTAGGCTAGAGAAGCCCAGGGCATTGCCATGGCACCTGGGCCCTGTTGTGCAATGCTGAGGCTCTAAAACTGCTACCACCTTGCCACCTCAATCTCAGCCCACCTCTGGAGCTCCCTCCAGGCAGCCTCTGCCCTGGGCTGCCTTTTTGTGGCTTAACCGCAGGAGAGCACCTGCCATGGGCTGCAGCATCCTCATCACCTCCCAGTGCTGAGTCTCCCCAGCAGGGAAGCTGGTGGGGACAGAGCCTATATATACACATGTGCCTAACCTAACCAGCCACTGTGGGCTCCTAGAAGAGCTGGCCATAAGTGCAGGTACAGAGACTGTCCCTCAGTCACTGGGCAGAATGGGTGTACGTGCAGGGCAGATGGCACAGCTCGTTCTGTGGGCGCATTTGCTTCGCCCTCCACATCTTTGCTGCACAGTTGTAATGGTACTTCTGTGCTGGTAGCCAAAGCAGAACTGCTGGGGTGCTGTTTTGGGCCCTTTGTGTATTGCCAGTACTCCTGTGGTTTAAACCCTTCCCTTGGATCATATCAGTGAAGCCTAACCCGGCCCCAAAGGCTTGGCCTCTAGCAGAAACAGCCTGAGGCAGTAGCAGGGTGTAATCCTCATTCTACAGGCACTTACTCAACAGCTACTATTGAGAGCAGAGTGAAATATTATATTAAGTAAATTATAGTGAAAGCTCATCAATCCCAAGAAAGCTATGTCTCCACAGGGCAGGATATCCCCTCTTTTCCCTCAGGCAGTCTGTGTTTGCCATAGATCTGAACAATCAGAAAGTCAACTAGTCACCCAGTATTTTTGTAAGGAATCTAGGGGGGAACACTCCCACCTGTGCTTCAGGAGGCTGAGTCCTTTACCAAGTGTGGGCAATCAGTGCTGCCGGCAGCCCTTCCTCTTATAGCAAGTCAGTGCTGGGAGATCTGGTCAGCTTTTCAGAGGGGCTGCATGAAATGGCCACTGTCTTGAAAGTAATCACATCCCCATAGCAAGGTCTTGTGTTTCTAACAGGATTAATGTAGAAGTCTCTGGGACCACAAGGACAATGTATCTTGAGCTGTAAGTTTTGACTCTCCCCTTTGTGTTGCCATTTGCATCTCCTGAGCTTTGTAGGAGAAAGAGAGGTGAGTGGGATCTCAGGTCTATGCCTGCAATCTCACCCCTCAGTAATTTTGGCTGACCACTGGTAAATATTCAATGAGGCAGGCAGGCTCACCAACTAGCCTCAAAAGTTTGGTGGCAACCTCTAGCAAGCTAACTTATAATCACACTTAAAAACTAGTTAATTATTCTTCTTGAACACTTAAACTCCATTTTCCCCACTTATTGTCTGTTTAAAGTCTATTTTTCTAGTGTAGAATATTAAATACATTGTTAGTCATTGTTAGCTAAGTTTTAAAATATATCTTATACTGATGCCAAAATGTTCTGGTTTCTTGCTGAATTTTAATAATATGTTTTTCTTCAGAAGCTAAATGACTGCCAGAGAATAAACAACCCCAAAGTATTAACATTTGCTTTTATATTTGGATAATGTTACCCTTTTGTAGTTTCCTGCAAATGCTGACTGAATTGTATCTATCACTACCATTGGGGGGTAATTTTTGTCCTGACCCCACGCTCCTTTTATTTAAACTTATTTTCTGTGCCTTATGTGGAATAAGCAAAGCAAAATTTTTAATGTTTACGTGTGTACCTACGTTCACATAACCACCCTCATTTTGATAATGCTCCTTCCCCATACAGATCATGAGGGTTAGGATGCCACATTCAGAGTCATTATCTAGGAAATTATTTGGCTTTTTTTCTTATAGTTCTTTTGCTATTAGGATTACAGCTGCAGATGGAAACAAAAATGAAATTGGTTTTGATGTAATATATGTAAACCTGGTTATTATCTCTGGCTACACATTATGTGGGGGTTTTTTGAAGAACTTCCTCATCAGGATGTACTGTATGAAAACTTGATGGAAATAGTGCAGCCACATGATTAAAACCATTATAAATTTCCAGTTTCTAATTAAAAAATGAAGATAGGTCTTTTACTAGACTTTTATAACCCCAGCTTTGTGAATGGCTTTGTTTTACAACATAATTTGCAGTGTAATTATCATTTGCTGGTGAATTATCATTAGTTGTAGTGTAAGTGTATAAAGTCTGTAAGGCAAGTTTACAGAGAAGGAAGGAAGGGGAATGTTTCAGAATATTGCCCTAATTCTACATTTCCCTTACACATGCATCCCACAGTACCTTTATATTAATCCTACACTATGCCAATTTCTGGCAGATGTTAGTGAAAAGTGAGCTTTACAGTGGGGTTGGAAACTACAAGTACTCCAGTCGTAATCAAGGGTTAGATCCTTGTCAGTTCTAGTCAGTGAAAATACCCATCAAGGTATTATTCTACTACTATAATTCCCTCAAACTGTTCCTTAAGTAATTCTTGCTGTGTATCTTCAGTTGAACTGAAATTACACGAGCTTCTAAAAGCCTTTTGCAAATAGGTAATAATGCCGTAAAAGGGAAAATATTGCAAAAAATTAGAAACTAAGTAGGATGACAGGAAACAAAAGCAGAAATGGAGTTAAAAAAGGAAAATCACCTAAAATGCTCTTGCAGGTTTTCCTGTACTAGATCTTGGTAGGATATTTATGAATGTTAAGTTTTAAAAGTGGAAAAAGAAGCAGGTGTTTGACTTCATTAGATAAGGGAAAACTAAAAAAAAACCAAAACCAAACCAAACAAAAACAAACAAAAACAAATAAACAAAAAACCCAACGAAACGCCCACAACCAAACCATCCCACTGAGTACACAAAGTCATCTGATCCACATAAAACACTCAAGTTCTTGCATACAAAAGATTTCTGGTGCCTGAGCCATAGTCCCCTCAGGACAACACTTACATCAGAGTGACGAAAAGGAAAAAATTATGATAGTTCAAACTAATTTATTCGCATGTATTAGTGACAGTGCTATTCTTTCTAAACCAAATAAAGAGCAATTATTTAACAATGACCACAGCCCAGATTTGTAAAGGTATTTAGAAACCTTTGGAAAAAAATAGTATGTGTCTGGGAGGGGCGACTGGATGTGCCTGTATAGTTTTTAAAATGTAAAAGGTATTCCTCTTCTTCTTCTTTAATGTGTATAAAGGCAGACAAAAAAAGTGAAATGTCTAGAAGGAATGAAACCAAAAGTAAGAGTTAGATAAACCAATATAATGTATTTTTCTGGAAAAATATTGTTTTAAGAAATCCTTGATGAAAGGGAAATTACAAGTAAGGAAAGTTTGAAGGTGTAAGCAATATGTAAAGTCTTATACAGAAACTGAAGCTAATAGGCCGGACAGTTTAGAGATGGTAAATCATAAATAAAACATCTATCTAACTACTTCTTGGTTGGTGTTGAACCAAGGTATTGAACTGCTAAACTGATGCAACTTGGCAATTTGGCATTCTTATGCCCTTTTCTTTCTATTCCAGTTATTTTATTTCTGAATTTTAGAAGTGGAAGGGAATACCTGTCTGAAAGTTCAGGAAATGTATTTATAAGGTATTGATGCTTATACATCTAAACCAAAAATGAAGGTGAAGCAGCAATTGATTAAAACTGCTGCACAAACTTCCAAAATAGTTAGCAAGTGTCCGTATCTAAATCAATTATTAAATACATAGGGTGAAATAGAGGAATACTTTACTGTATCTTTTTTCTTAGGAGTATTTGAATACTACTATTTTTCTTGTTTGTTTTATCTTGTTCCATGCCAGATGTTCCTAGGGGAGAAAACAATGGTGATGTGTTTTAATATTGATGAGTTGATTCTCCTGGGAATAATAGTATTTCTACCTTCTCAGAATACAAATTGTGTGAGGCTTTTTATAGTGTAATTACCAAAATGCAACTCTTTAAAACTGTGGAAAGACCTTTCTGTTTATTATTTCTCTTTTATATACTTTAAAAGGAGAATGACTCTCCTTATAAAATTATGTATCATGTTTTAGTGACCTTTTAAAAGCAAGCATACAAATGCTTGGGGTACACCAGGGGATACTGTGTGTTCTGTCAAAGCAGCATATGCTTAAGCACCTTCTAAACTATTATAATCACAATAAAAATAATATTTCTCTTTCCAAGTTTGTTAGTTTATTCTTTTAAACAATTTCAGAGCAGTTGCAGAGTAATTAAAGTATTTTTTTTCCTTTTTTTCCTTCAGGAACTTGAACATTGAAGTCCTGAAATTATAAATGATTTAGTGGCGAGTTGAGCTTGCAATGCAGGCAATAAAAACCGTGGAAAAAGAAGTGACTTTTATAAAGGAAATACTTTTCACAGAATCCTTCCTAAAGAAACAAGAGTGCAGCAGAAACCCGGAGAGCAGGCGGCTCCGAGAACAGCAGCCATTGGAAGGAGCTGTCTGCAGCTCTCAGTGCTGTACTGAGCATGTCCCAGCGGAGCCCAGTGCGAGCAGCACATTATGCAAAAAGGCAGCTCTAGCAGATGGGAGAGAGGCACAGCAAGCATTTGCTTCACTTGCATCACCACCGCTTGAAAACAAACCTGGATCGCTAGAGGGGATCTCGCCAGCAGGCCAAAGGAATGAAATCCGGGAGGATGGCTTGATAGCCGAAGGTGTTGCACTGCGAAAAATCATGGGGAATCAAGATGGGAAGCTAAAGAAAAATACAGGTGATGTGCAGGAAGGAGAAGATGCCTCTGGGCCCAAGGATACGGATGGCACAAAGAAGGCATTGGGAGGCAGAAGGGGACTGGGGAAGCATTCGAAAGGAAGTGAATCTGGTAAGAAAAAGGGTAAGTCGGAATCCAGGCCCTCTGTGTTTTCAAATCTGAGGATCAGAAAAAATCTGTCTAAGGCTAAAGATGGGAATAGCAGTTCACGTGAGGATGTTTTGGAAAGCCAGGCCTTGCAGCCTGGAGAGCTGGACAGTACTCATTCAATTGTAACCAAAACTCCTGATATAAGCATCTCTGCAGATGAAGGGGGTCTCTCAGACACAGATGTTGAACATTTTGAAATCAGAAATGAAACTGTTCCAGCTGCTGCAGAGACACAGGACGGACAAAGGACCAGCTCTGGCTCTGATACGGATATATACAGTTTCCATTCAGCCGCAGAACAAGAGGATTTGCTTTCTGATATCCAGCAAGCTATTAGACTGCAACAGCAGCAGCAGGGGTCAATTAACATTGGAACTGAGGACCTTGTCACAAAAACAATGGGCCGACACATGGTTAATTCGCAAGCAGCCCCCTTAGATTTTGAACGTTTTTTTTCAGTAACTACCCTTGACAAAGAGAGGAGCCCAGACTCTGAGGGGGCTTTTCCAGCAGTATCTGAAATTCCTGTCTCCTGTGCAACTGAACGTGAACCGAAAGAAGCACTAAATGGCACAGGCTCTCCTGGTAACGGCTTAATTGAAACACAGGAACGTAAGCTATTGATTGAGGAACAGCTCGTTGCCGGAGTGGATGCTGTCGCTAGTGAACTAGAAGATGGTTTGAATAGAACTGCGGTGGAAAACAGGTCTCAGACACAAAGCTCTACACAACCTTTTCCAACCTCAGTAGCAGACACTGAGGCTAAAATTGCTGAAGTTCAGGCCGTTGATTTTCAGGGCTCAGTAACAGAGGATGGTATTTCAGATGCAGGCCACGATCACGCTGCTGAGACTCAGGAAGAGAAACACACTCTCTCAGCCAGTCAAGAGGAGGTACGTAATGGTTTATCCACGGAAATGAAAAATGGCATTTTGTCCTCTGAAGAAACAGCAGACAGTCCGGTGCTTGGTTCCCGATGTTTTAAGCCCTATCTAATTAATCCCTGTTACATCAAAACCACAACTAGGCAACTGAGTTCTCCCAATCATTCACCTTCTCCCTCCCCATCCCAGAGCCCGCTTTCTGCAAGGAGGCAGGAGTCCTTCCACAAAAAAGAAAAAGTCTCATTCAAGAAGAAGAGGTCTGCTAGTTTGGCAGGTTTTTTCAGTCGTTCTGCAGACTGGACAGAAGAGGTGTCTAACCACAAATACGAGATAACAGAGAAGGTGGGCTCTGCAGACTACTTGGAGCACAAGGGGTTTAGAGAGAAATTTCAAACAGAAAGAGTGCCTTTGACTCATTCAAGGAAGTCCTCAGGGGTGCAGGCTTCTACAGAGACGTTCCCCAATGTCTTTTCAGGTGAGTAGTGTGTTTTAAGGTTTTGTTGTTGGTTTTTTTCCAGAGACCCTTTGAAAATATTTTTTAAATACTTTAATTCAGTACTTTGCATGTACCTTTACTTCTGCTGACAGCTTTAAAACCCAAGGCCTGATTTTACAAACACAGTCACATTTCATCAGTCTGGCAGCACTGCCAGTAAAGGAAGTGTATAACTCTTTGAAGTTTTTCTTTCTGCTTCTCTCCTTTGTCTACATCCTGTAGAAAAAGGCTGGATGCCTTAAATTATTCTTATTGAAAAATCCTAAGAACTGTACTGTTGTAGGCAGACCATCTATCTGCATAAATAAATCTTTCAAATGTGAAGCTTTCTGGAACCAGGATCCTGTTTGAGTTTTCTTGTGCTAGTCACTGTTCTGATGTACTGTAAATATCTGAGAGCTGAACCTGGTGCTAGACTGAGGCAGTGATGGGGATTTGCTTAGTGCAAAATGGAAAAAGCCATGCAAGCACAGATGGACAGCACTCCAGAAAGGAATGAATTTCCCCTTCAGAAGGGGGAAAGAGCAGAAGAAAAAAAATGTTCATGTCTTGAAAGGCAGAATTAAAGGTAGAAGAGAGGGGAAACTGGGGGTAGTACAATTTGGTAGCTGTGAAAGGCTGCTGCTTAGGCTACATAAGGTGACTCATTCAGTACTCTTTACCTTGCCTGTTAGGCAACTTGCATCCTGTCACAAAGGCATGGGACTAGGGAGTTTACAAATGAAATAGTGTGTGTAGATGGTCATATTTTCCTGCACTCTGAGATTTTTTTCCCCTTTCTCTTTCCCCCATCTGAAGTTTCTTTATAAAGGTAATGTCTTCATAAATAGGAAGGCCTCTGCCACATAGGAGTTATGTATACAGAGGAAACTCAGCAACATATTCCATTTCTTTTTCACTTAAGAAAACTGTAGAACTAAGAGAATCCAGAGAACATGCCCTAAGAACACCTTATAAGATTAAATCAGATATGTGGGAAGTCAGTTCTAGGTGCATGAGCACAGTAACTAGACTTGAACCCAAGGTATTTGCAAAAAAATGGAGAGAGAATTTTTTTAATGAAAATATTTTTTATGAAAACTAAACAAAAATATGTTTTATTAAGTAAAGTATTAACATCATTTTCCAGATTCAAATCACAGGAAATCAAATCACATCTCACATTCTTCAGTAGTCTTGAACAGAAATCCCCAATTTCAGTCTAGAAAATTTGAATCCAGTTTTTTTAACACAGAAAGAGCCAGTTCCCTCTGAAGGAGACCAACCCCCAGTGAAGTGAGCTGAATCTTTTTTTGTATATGTTTTAAATCCCTTTTACCTGTTTTCTTAGATTTAATTTCAGACATCCTACTTAAACTTTCTCAGTTAAGGTGTTTACTACTTTCAGATTTATGGCATATAAAAATTACACTACTTTTTTTAAGCTATTGAGATTTGACAGCTTATAAACAACTCAGAGAGCAAAACTTTAACTTCATTATCAGTAATTAGACTTCTTTATGGTGGTGTTATAATAGAAATAAGTTTTATGTGGCAAACTTCAATAACATGGTAATTATTTTTAGATACTCGTTTTCTGGGAAGCAGACTTTTTCCCATTTCCTCATAAGGTTTTGATTTACTTAAAAACAACTTTTGGTTTGGTGGGTTTTTTTTGTTGTTTTTACCCCTCCCCCCCCCCCCCAGTACTTTAGACTGTTATTGTGAAGGGACCAATGTCCAATGCAACAGTAGTTCTATCTCTCATGGAAATTACGGTGACCCTCATTTGCATGTACATACCAGATGTCTTTACAAGCAAAGGACAATTATACCTTTCAATTCATGCAGAAAAGCTTATAATGAGGGAACTGGAAATGATATTATACAACTTTATCTCATTTTGACAATTCTTATTAAAAAAAAATATTTATAAGCTAAAAATTATCAAGAACATTAAATAACAACAAAAGGGAAATTAGTCTTGACATTAGTATTCCCATAAACTGCGTGTCACTTCTGTAAGAGCAGAAAAACCTCTTAAATAAACCATTCTGCACAGCAACAATTGCAGTAATAATTTCCTTCTACTTTGATACTACTTGGGAAAAATGTTGTATTTTAATTGCATGCATGAGATGCATTGATTTGGGGATTAACATCAGGGTTTTAGAAATACCATTCTTTACAGTGGGATATTTCTAGCTTAAAAAAAAAAAAAAAAAAAAAAAAAAGCCCAAACCAAGCAACTTCTTGCCTACAGCACTAAATCCCATTTTGCTGTGCAGTGACTGCAGTGTTGTTCTGCATTTCTAACTAGAATCAAGTAAAATATTCCATAACACTTTAGTCATTGATTTCAATGACAGCAGGTTCTGTGCAGATGACTGACCTACTTTTGCACTATGCTGTGGTTTGGCTGAGTGCCATTTGGTTTTCATAGTGATCCATATGAACTCTTTAAGACCGCTTTATTGTAAAATGTAGATGGAAGCCAAAGACTGGAATAGTAAAGACTTTGCATATTTTAATTTTGCTTCATATATGAAGACAAGCAGATATTTCAAATTTGATGCATTGCTTAGGAATGTTGTAGACAAATTTATGGGTGTTTTGTAATTCAGGCCTTGGATCTGTTTCTTTTTGATGAGGACAGCTGTATTTGAATTTGCAGTGGCAGTAATTACAAGTTCTAGGTTACCCGATGTACAGTGAAGCCCTGGCTTTTATATTGTGGTCCCAGGAGGACAAGGGCTGAGCATGAGTGAATAGGATTGGTTCTGTCGCTTTGGTGTGTGGCAATGAATGATTTGCACTAACATTAGGAAAGTAATGGTGAGAAAATGAAATTTATGTTTGCAAACATTAATGTGGAAGAGCTGATAGACGGATTTAATAAAGAGGAGTTTATTCTCGCATTAATTTGAGGTGCAGTGATTGCAGAGGAGCTAGTGGGTGTCTGTTACTTAAATTGAGTGGAAGAGCCCCACTAGTTGCCCCAGAAGGTAATTAAACTTGACCCAGACAAACCTGTGCCCATTCTAGTCTCTGTTAGCTGGCTGTAATGGACTTGCTGCATGAAGCTCTTCCAAATAGATCATTTATCTTTAAATTTCTCTTCAGAGGTTTTCATTTGTTCTTCTCTAGCTCTAAAGAGGAGACAAACAAAAATTCCTGGTTACCATTAGACAAAACTTGAAGTCAGTTCTGTGCTTGTATACTCAAGCCTGCTTTCTGATTTCCACAGAGGGTCAATCTACTTCTCACAAAGGCCACTTTAACTCACTTCTGTACTGTGCTAATGTCATCTGAACCCACTTGCAGTTCCAGTGCAGTGTCTGCAGGCATATGCAAAGGTCTTAGTATAGATTAGTATGTGAAAACTTGAAAACGTCAGATGAAAGTTTACTTCTGGGACATAAAGTAGATCTTTTTAGATATTTTTTCAAACATTTTTTCTTTCTAATGCATGTGATATTGCACACAATATGGATTTGTGTCAGTTGGCATTCTGAGTAGACTATTTATCATGCAACTGTTATTAAAGATTTTTTATGGTTTGCTGTTTCACTGATGGCGTTTGTCAACAGATTCTTTTATCAGATGGGGCAGTGCAGCCTCCTAACTAAGGATGCTGCACAACAGCAACCCTACATATGGTATCCAAAAACACTAGAGTTGCTAGTAAGCGTCTGAAGGGAAAGATCCTCCTCTTCTTTTTGCCTAGTATACACAAAACTGGGAGCTGGGGAGGAGGACTGCAATACTGGGCTTCAGCTATAGTAAAATGTGTTTGAAAATGGGCTGCAATATGTTATTGGAAGACTGCTGAGTGCTGATAAATTGCTTTAATGTTGCTCTGCCAACACCACAACATAGGATTTGGAGCAATATGAGTAATTTCACTGGAATTCAGTCCTGCCACAAGCTTGTTTTGATGGGTCTTATGATTAATGCTTTGATCTTTATCTAGAACTTCATTGGGATTAGCAGTTTTTGGTCATGGGATTGGGTGTCTCTATTTCTTGGGCAACCAGTTTCTGAGCAGTGACCTCATTCTGAGGTCTGACTGGCAGCATAACTCGTGTCTGGAGTAGAAATGTGTCACCTTGGTTGCATGCTGGTCTCTTTTGGGGTGCAAAGGGGGAAAGGAAAAGGGAAAATTTATAGCTGCAGGTCTCCGCAGTTCTGCTGTGATCTGAGACACAGCACCAGTATAATATTCATCGCACAAGGGATCTGGCTAGAGCTGGTCATTAAAGGATATTGTGTGCTTCAGTGACTTCATTTCTGTGAAATGAGAAGTGGATTATTCCAGTGGGAATAGTCATGTGGAATTTAGGTTTGATTATATTTCTTGGATCTAATTGTGCTTTACAATTATTTAAATATGCATAAATTTTCTAATAGCTTGGGGTGTGGTTGGTCCATTAAAAAAAACAAAACACACACACACACAAAAAACAAACAAACAAAAAAATCAAAACAAAACAAAACACCACAGGAAAACCAAACAAACCCTGTGTTTAGGGTTCTTATTTGAAGGAAAAAAAAATCTATTTCTTGGACCAGGCTTTTTATCCCTCCATGCTGTGGAATCTAAAGAAAAACAAAGTTGGAACTGAAAAGCATCTCTAGGAATATTTTAGACTGACTGTATATGAGGGATCAAATTCTAATGTGAAACATGGTGATAGAAAATGCAAAAACACAAATTACCCAGATATTTTGTTTGTTCTGTATTTAAATCAAGTTCAGGATATAGCCAAGTGTGTTCCTTAGGAACTACTCCTGCCAAAATTTGAGCTTACATAAGGAATACTGGTGATGAACATGTATGTGTAGGTGTTTCTGTGACCAGCTTTGTTTATTTTTAGGCACATTTAAAAGCATCATTCTGTAGCAGCTGGTGGATTGCAAGTTTCCAGAAACTTACTTTTATGTGTGCGGTTGATCTCTTTGAGGGATGAGGTGAGTTGATACAAGGAGGTCAGGGCAGA